CGAGGTGGAAGGTCCACGGCCCTGCATTCTAGGCCTTTGCTCATTAGAAATCCAAGGGCAGTGGCCAATCTCTGGAGAAACTATGACAGAAAATAACATTTGACATAATGCCAGAGAGCATCTAGATAAATTTTGTCAATTAAAAAAAATGAGAAAAGAAAAAAACAAATGCAAGCACGAATTTTTACTAAATCCTAGGTTTAAAAAACAAACTGCTATTAAAGAGAATTGGGGCATAATTGGGAAATTTGAAACTAAGCTAAATGGGCCGGGATGGTGGCTCACCTGTAATCACCTGTAATTCCAGCACTTTGGGAGGCCGAGGCAGGTGGATCACCTGAGGCCAGGAGTTCGAGACCAGGCTGGCCAACATGGGGAAACCCTGTCTCTACTAAAAAATACAAAAATGGCCGGGCGCAGTGGCTCAAGCCTGTAATCCCAGCACTTTGGGAGGCCAAGACAGGCGGATTCTGGCTAACATGGTGAAATCCCATCTCTACTAAAAAAATACCAAAAAAAAGCCGGGTGTGGTGGCGGGCGCCTGTAGTTCCAGCTACTCAGGAGGCTGAGGCAGGAGAATGGCGTAAACCCGGGAGGCGGAGCTTGCAGTGAACTGAGATCCGGCCACTGCACTCCAGCCTGGGCGACAGAGCGAGACTCTGTCTCAAAAAAAAAAAAAAAAAACAAAACAAAAATTAGCCAGGCATGGTGGTGGGCACCTGTAATCCCAGCTACTTGGGAGGTTGAGGCAGGAGAATCACTTGAACCCAGAGGCAGAGGTTGCAGTGAGCTAAGGTCGCGCCACTGCACTCCAGCCTGGGTGACAGAGTGAGACTCCATCTCAAGGGAAAAAAAAAAAACAAAGAAAAAGGAAATAAGCTAAATAGTAGGTGCTATTAGAGAATTACTGTAAACTCAGCTCTGATAATGGTACTCAGGTTAAGTAGAATACTCCTAAATTCTTTGGGGATGTGTGCTGAAGTGTTTAGGGAAGAAACATCACCATGTGCACAATTTATTTTCAGCTGCCTTCTAAGAGCAGGCGCCGCTCATTCACGTGATGGCTCTCTCCCGTGATGGCTGCCATCAAGCCCCTGCCCCGCTGCACCACCAGTGTTCTGGACGTGTTTCCGGCCGTAAGAAGAGGAACTTTCGTGGGAGAAGGTGATGCGTGTGTGAATGCAGATATGAAACCAGGACTCGCTGTCAACATTCCATTTTCACTTGGGTCCTGACTTGTGACATTGAGTTGAAAGTGATTTTGATTCTCTTAATAACAAATCTGAGGCTGCAGCAACCCAGCTTCCTTCCAGCCCCACTGGGCTTGGCCTGGTCCCTGCACATGGCAGATTAACCTCCTTTGTTCTCTTTACTGGTAGAGTAAATAACCAGTTAGTCCGTACAGCCCATGCCCTTTGTCATTTCTCTATATCCAACTTTTTTTTTTTCTATTTACTTTTTTCTTATTTTTAGAGACAGTGGCCTCGCTATGTTGTCCAGGCTGCAGTCAAATTCCTGGGCTCAAGGGACTCTCTTGCCTCAGTCAACTGAACTATTCACGATTAAAGATGAATTCATCTCCTGTTTCACTTGAGGTTTCAGAGCAAATGACGAGCAAGTATTACCAGCTTTACTACACAGAGAGCAAACTAAAGCCTCAGAAATATGAAGTTATTTTTGTCCAAAGGCAAAAATCCAAATGGCAAAGAGTCTTGAAGGAGACCCAGGATCCCCAGTCCCCAAACTTCAGCATTCCTCATGGCAAAAGTTTGACATTCTTCATTGGAAATTATCAATTTCTTTTTTTCCATTTGACGAAGTCTGCAGCCCATGGCAGGAAAATGAGAAAATCATGGAGCAAATCACCCACAATGATTGGAGCCTGCTTCCAGCTGCAGCTACTGGAAAGGTACCTGATTTTGGTTTTCACTGTTGGTGAAGCCCAATTTTGCAGCCTGTATCTGAATATACACATTAGGGATCTAGACTTTCTAAGTTAAACTTCAACCTTCCAAGACTCACATCTACCTTATTTTTTAAAAAGGCACTCACCTTTATTTCTTAAAAAAATAAAAAGTCACTTTTTTTTTTTTTTTTCCAGGACAGAGTCTTATTCTAGTGCCTAGGCTGCAGTGCAGTGGCACGATCTCGGCCTACTGCAACCTCCACCTCCCAGGCTCAAGCAATCCTCCTGCCTCAGCCTCCCAAGTAGCTGGGACTACAGGTACATGCCACCATGTCCAGCTAATTTTTGTAGTTTTTGTAGAGACAGGATCTCGCTGTGTTGCTCAGGCTGCTCTCAAACTCCTGAGCTCAATGAATCCAGCCACCTTGGCCTACCAAAGTGCTAGGATTATAGGTGTGAGCCACGGTGCCTGGCCAAAAAATCACTTTTAAAGGCAGCTGAGGTAGAGTTGTGTGATTTGCCAGAAGTTTGATAAACATTCATCCTGTCTCTGAAATTCAGAATCCTTGCAAGTACCGTGGCTGGGAATGTAAAGAAAATCATCTGAAAGCTGAACATCTGTCTTCATCCTGGTTTTCTAAATGAAGGGAAAACCATCTCAGCAAAAATGCTGATGAAAGGGACCTGGACAATGTGGGACGAGGCCTGGGGGTGGAAGGGATTTGTCCTGCCCTTTGAAAGAATGTCTTTGAAAGAATATCTTTGAAAGAATGTCTTTCTTTCAAAGGGCAGGACAACGGGGAGCCCTGAGGAATCTGTTTCACTTTAAAGGAGAAAAAACAACAGTGTTTTCTTTTAAAAAAAAAAAAAAAAGGCACTCACCTTTATTTCTTAAAAAATGAAAAGTCACTTATTTTTTCTTTCCCAGAGTCTTATTCTAGGGTCCAGGCTGAAAAAAAGTACTGTGCACTTTTCAGAATTTCTTTTCAGAATCAGGATGGCTGAAATCAGGTGAAGCAACTTAAAAACGGGAGTGCACAGCAAGTTTGCAAAGGCAGTGCCAACACTGCAGTGCCAGAAATGCGACCATAAAAAGAAAAAAATCCCATTGACACCATATTTATCTACTAACGCTGGGGAGCCCAGGACTTTGGCTATTTCCAGACGGCCCTCGGGATGTTTTCCTCCCTTCAGGGTGCCCTGTTTGGGCTTTTCCCATAGGAACTGGAGGCCCATCCCTCAGCCCTGTTGGAGGGCCCTGACTTCTGTAGGACCAAGTGTGCAGGATCTCTCGGGTGGTCACAGGCAACCTGAAGGAACTTAGTCCCCCCAGGAACCTAGGGAGCATGCCAGGAACAAACAGTGGTACCCACTCCCTGGGCTCATTTCTTGAGTTCAGCTCTTCGGCAAGGAAAAAAAAAGGCCGTTAGTATATTTTGTTTTTCATTTTTACCCGAAAAGAAATATGACAACTTACAGGAAGTATGACACTAGCAGGATGACAATACCTGCTAGTGAAATTAAGGCCACCCAGCTCCTCAGATCATCATCAACTGGAATGACCAGACCTCACTTCAGGTTGCATTTGTGTTTACTAGAGAGAACAATGAGGAGTTTCCTTTTAAAGAATAAGAAAGCAAAATAGCAATGTGGTGAAACCTCATCTCTACAAAAAAGTACAAAAATTAGCCAGGTGTGGGCACCTATAGTCCTAGCTACTGGGGAGGCTGAGGCAGGGGGATCACTTGAGTCCAGAAGGTCGAGGCTGCAGTGAGCTGTGATCACGTCACTGCACTCCAGCCTGGGTGACAGTGAGACCTTGCCTTAGAAAAAAAAAAAAGAAGAAGAAGAAGAAAGAAAGGGAGGGAAGGAAGGAAGGAAGGAAGGAAGGAAGGAAGGAAGGAAGGAAGGAAGGAAAGAAGGAAGGAAGGAGAGAGAGAAAGAGAAAGAGAGATTGAGAAGGAAAGAAAAAGAAAGAAAGAAAGAGAGAGAGAGAAAGAAAGAAAGAAAAGAAAAGAAAAGAAAAGAAAAGAAAAGAAAAGAAAGAAAAACAAAATAACAAAACGACCCTGAGAAGGAAAAGAAATAATCAGAGCATAAAAAATAATCGCTGACGGCTGGACATGGTGGCTCATGCCTGTAATCCCAGCACTTTGGGAGGCCAAGGCGGGAAGATCAACTGAGGTCAGGAATTTGGGACCAGCCTGGCCAACATGGCGAAACCCTGTCTTTACTAAAAGTACAAAAATTAGCCGGGCGTGGTGGGCACCTGTAGTCTCAGCTACTCAGGAGGCTGAGGCAGGAGAATTGCTTGAACCCGGGAGGCAGAGGTTGCAGTGAGCTGAGCTCGCACCACTGCACTCCAGCCTGGGTGACAGAGTGAGGCTCCATATCAAAAAAATAAATACATAAAAAATAAAAAGCAATAATAATAGCCGACAACAGAATACAGCTAGGCCGAGCAGCAGCCTCCTCTGCTGTCCGTGCGCTCGCATGTTGCCTGCTTCACTGCCTGACTGTGGGCTCTGTTTGTCTTGGTCCCCGTGGCATTACCAGAGCTTAGCAGATAAGGAGGAGCTTCATACATTGTTGGCGTGAACAAAGGAATGCATGGTAACCATGCATTCAGAAATGACCAGTTCAAGAGGAGAATGAGATTGGCTTCCAAATATTGGTCAAGAGCTCTACATAGCACGAGCTAAGGATCTTAGTAGGCTCCTGTGACCGGTGACTCTTCTGGCTCTAGAAATCTGGGGAGGTGACCAGGTCATACATGGCAGTCTTCCTGTGAGGAACGTTAAACTGGTTGGAACTTGGGGTTCTGAGGGGAAGATGTACTCACCAGGTGACCTGCCTGTTCTGCCTCGGTGGCCTCCATGGCTGCCTGCTGGCCGCACGCCCCCACTCAGCAGAGGAACGGACTTTCCAATCTTGCTGAGTCTGTTTGACCAAAGGTGATGCTGACTTAGTGGCCTAAGGTCGTGCCCTCCCTCCCCCACTGAATCGATAAATAATGCGACTTATCAGAAAGAGAAAGAATTGTTTACTTTTAAACCCTGGATCCCATAAAGGGAGAGGGGAGAAGCCTAAAGCCACAGAAGCTGTAGAAGGCGCCATCCTGCCTGTCACAGGAGGGCCACTGGACTGAGAGGACCGGAGCTGACTGGGGGTAAGTGCGGCTCTCCCCGGGCGCCGGCCGACCCCCCTGAGTGATCAGGCTGTCCTTTGGGGTGGCCGCTGACTGAGAAATGATGGGAGGCTGCTGAGCCCAGTGTCGAAAGAGTTGCCACCCAGCACCTGAGCAGCAGGAGGTGTTGAACACACCGTCACTTTGTCTTCCATAATTTTTCTGATTCTTCAGAAACCCTGAGGGAAACTGGAGACTTTCTTTAGAGAGAGTAACAAATGGTTTCCGTTTAAAGAAAAATAACAAAATGGCTTAAGGAGGAAAAGAAATGATCACCCTGCAGAGGGAGAGAGGATGAGGCTGGGGAGGAGCTGAGGGCTCAGGGACGGTGTGGGCTTTTATTTCTGCCCTTGGAGTGGCTGGACATTAAGCCAGTTCTTGTTTTTACGATGGCTTGATTGAACAATAACACCAAATCTTCACACAAAATGCCGGCATTAGAGTCATTCCTTTGGCATGCCTCTGTCCAAGTCATATTGTTCCCTCGACAGCACTAAAAATAGCCGGACACCTGTGCAGAAATGAAACAGCTCCTTAGGAATCCCCAAGTCTCAGCAATTCTCTTTAAAAGGAGTCCATGGAGCCCCCAACTTGGCCAAAAATGTACCCAGTGGTTCCTTCTTCCCCACTGGTTGGTGAGAAACACAGGCAATTACAGGTGCCTGAATAGGGAACTTCCCAGATGTCCCTTCTAGATGGATTTCAGTGAGGAAAGAAATGCTGCTTTGCTTTGCTCCCTGTTGATAAGAACGTTCTATTTTAAAATTTCCATGCACTTTCAAAATGACAACTGAGAAGTATAATACTGACTTCCTTTGTCATGCGGACTAACAGCCTAAAAGAATCAAATGAATGCATTTAACACATCTATTTTAAATGGCAGTAAATGTGAATGCAGAGTAAAAAGCATCTCCATTTATCTTTCACTTTTTGAGAAATCTTTTTTTTTTTTTTTTTTTTGGTGCTGATGGGTTAGGTTTGCAGCAAGGTGACGCTTCATAGTCCCCAAAGCACCCAAACCCCAGCGGGGTTGGCCCTAGAATGCTCTTAGCCCCTGGGAACAACATATTAAAGCAAAGACAAGCTGCTCGTGTCCAGATCTGACCTGAGAAAGAATAGGGAGTGTTGCGATATTCCTGGTACTTGTGAATCTAAGACGTCATGCTGGGAGCTGTGGGGCATACAGAATGCGTACAGAGTGATGAATTTGCTGGAGGGTCTGGCTTTGTAAAGGCTTCCTCCTTAATGAGCTTTTTTTCTCACTTATGAAAAGAAATGCAGGGCATTAAAAGAGTAGCAAACCAAATCTAGCCTGTTTTTCATACTCACAGGTCCAATGGGAAAGCTGCATTCTGAATTGGCCACAGCAGCTAGAGATGCCTAGAGTTTTCATCATGGTTGGGAAGACGAGGGCAGGAACATGACAACGCACAGAAATTTTGTGTGTGTGTTTTCTTTAGAAATGGGATCTCAAATAACTGGGCTCAAGGGATCCTCCTGCCTAAGACTCTTGAGTAGCTGAGACTCCAGGAGAAATTCAGGATTAATAGACATTCAGGAATGGCTAGCACTCAGCCTTTCTCAGGGAGATCTCAGGAAGTAAGGCATAAAGAAAGATGGTGGGAGATTTATGTGGATGGGATCAGGGGCCCGGGGAAGCTAAACAGATTCCCTCAAGGCCTTTTCTACACTTTGGAAAATTGTGCTGGCATTTGGACAAGTCACCCTGATTAATATCCAACATCTTTGCCTTAAGCATTATTTTTTCAAAGGAAATAATGTGTTAATACATCCCAACTTGTGTATAATGTTTCTGTTTGTTATTAGCTCGTACTATTTAAGTTCAGTTGTTAAATTTGAAAATACTAGAACATTAAAAATTTGCAAAATGAGAAATGATTATGTGAATTTTTAAAGTATTCAGAAGTGGATCCTGGCATTAACCACTTTTAATTTATTTTACTAGCGATATATTATTGGATGACTTTTTTTTTTAAAAAAGAAGCCTTCTGCTTGCTTGTTTAAACTGCTTTATAAATTGATAGTTTAACCACTTCTGCAGAAACAAAAAAGTAATAAAAGGTGATGGCCATTTTAGCAATGTTTAAAATTTGCTCACAAGACAAAATGATTGGCACTCAATATGTGTTTAGTGATAGATGCAATAATACCGTAAAATTATTATACTGCATAATAAAGTATTTCACTAACAATTTGCTAAAAAATTAGCCTGAGGCCTGCCACTCAGCACAGCACTAACTTTTCATGCTTGTGACAAATTGTCTGTGAGTAGGGTGGGCTCCAACCTTCCCAATTTTAGGAGAGTATTTTGCAAGAAGGAATTTGTATTGAGAGTCCAGAAAGAAAATTGCTTAACATTTTTAAAATTCTCATTTTTCTCATTTAAAAAGTGCCACATGAATCATAAATTAACAAATGCACACAAAAGGAGAAAATAAAAAGAAACCATAATTTCTCTACTGAAAGATAACCATGGTTAACATTTGGTGTTTTGGCCTCAGGCATGTATGCATTTTTTTTCACAGAAAGGGACTCATACTGTGTATATTGTTTTATAAACTGCTTTTTAATTCAGTAACATAGATTGAATTTCTCTCCAAGTCTACCAGACTTTTCTACAGAATCAGTTTAAATGATCATGGTATATCATAAATATATTACTCTTCTCCTATAGCTGGACGTTTAGGTTGGTTCCAATGTTTACCCTTATAAACAATGCCACTATGAGCAACCTTATAGGTAAATCTTTTTACAAATTTTTGACATTTTCCTGGAGATAGATTTCTGGGCCATAGAAATCGAGGTTGATTTGGGGCGGGGGGAGTTGGTAAGATTTACCTGTAAAGGTTGATTTGGGGGGTGGGGAGCTGGTAAGATTTACCTGTAATGCATTAACTTCCTCAACTCTTTTCATCTTCCATCTGTTCCTTCCCTTTTCTGTCTTTTGCAGATCATTCAAAGCCAAAAGCCAACAGAGCCCCCATGGAGAAGTGGGGGATGCTCAGATGCTGCTATGGAGCCCTGAGAAGTGAAATGGACCCAAGCCCTTGCCCAGGATAGAGCGCTCCAAGTGCGTCCTCCGGGGACCCTTTTAACCAGTGCATTGTTCACCTCTCACTGTTTCTTCCCAACAGAGCTAAGAGACTTCTAGAGCTTCTTGTGATAGTCAGCGATAGCCCTGGTATGACCAGGAGGTGGGGATTTCTGTTCTAGGTCCCTCAGCAAAGATTAAGCAGGCCAAGCCTGGCTACTGCGTTAGAGGCGCTGTAGGGAAAGGGAAGGACAAAATGGGCCACCACACACCTGCGTCCACTGCTGGGCGGCACCCAGAGTGCTGGCGGTTTGTGGCAGCGACTGGGGCCACCTAGAACAGTTCTAGGGTTCGTAGTCATTCTCTCTGAGTCATGGAAGACTGCCCAGGAGGCGAGTCCCACCTAAGAGAGTATGTCTAAATTTAGGCCACTGGCATGGCCTGTTGCCTTGCAAATGACGACATTTCATGAAAGAAAGCCAGGGCCACAGACAGGAATCAAGGAAATCAGTCACTTAGTGGAAGATAACGAATCCACAGAGTGAAAAGGGGAAAGAAAAAAAAGAGGCAACTTCAACACTCCAAACCCATGGGAGCAGACCGACTTTCAGCTTTTGCAGGGGGATAATCACAGCTTGAAGAGGGTGATTTCATGATCTACGTGAGAATAAGGTGCATGTTTTTTTCTGAAAAATACGAAGGGTTCATTTTCAGCTGTTAAAGATGGGTCAGTTTTAGGGCTAAAGCAAGGCTCTGGTCAGATGTTAACAACTCAGTTATCCTGGGGAAAAAAATAACTGGCTCCCAACTCTTTCCCTTTTCAGCATTTGCAGGAAAAGAAGGAGTAGATAAATGCTTTATTTCCTCTCATTCTCCATGGTGGGCAGGAGTTCACATAATGATTAGAAACCATTTTTAACAGGAAAGCCAAGTAAATCCTGCAGGGATTTATTTGGAGCTCCCTTTTTGCTAGAAAGTGAGTATCATGAACTAAAAATGCACTCATTTCCTCTCTCTCCATCTACCTCCCTTTCTTCTCTCCCCTCATCTCCCACCCACTGCTATGGTGGAAAATGACTGTGGTCAAGAAGATTGAACATTTGAGCAAGACCGGGTGCCTTTATATCCAATAGATGCACGGAGAGTAGATCACAACACATCTAACTGCTGTATCCCCATATAAAATAATTTTAATTTCCTAGACTGCAGAATTGATCACATTTACTGATGATGGATTGGGAAGTATGTGAGGAGGTAAGAGTTGGAGAGTGTTCATTCATTCGGTCAGATTATTCTTATTTATAATGTGGTCTTCCCCTAAATATTTATTTCCGGAAATCTATTCCCTCTAGAGATTCTTTCTCTCTCAGCCATTTTAGAAAATTTTTGCAAACAGAGTTCCTGTCCATTTTCACAGGACGTTTTTGCAGAAGGGGTTTGTTGGGTGGCAGTGGAACACAGGCAGTGGACCCCTTTACTCTACTGTTCCAGAACACAGAAGCCTTTCATCTGTGAGTCTTCAGCTCTTCCCATTGCTCAAGATGCTTGCACCTGTGATGCTTCTTTTCTCTGCTCAGGTCACAATATGTGGAGCTGACAAGGTTCCCCTATTTTCAGTGACAATGGTGGAATGTGGAGGTGAAGTTGACACCTTCGTGGCTGCAGATTTTCCTTAGCAGAGCTGTGGAGTGTGACAATGGTGTTTGTGTCTAAACTATCAAACGCCATTATCACACTAAATAGCTACTACTAGGCAATCCTTCCCTCGATAAATGTCCTGGCATCGTTTGCTTTGAGCAAGAAGGTTCATCTAATTGTTCCCAATCTTGTGTACTTACTGAATAAAGTCTGGTTCTCTTGCACTCATAACCAATATGATTAGCTGAACCCTGCCTCTCACATGCTGTTGTTACATACCTTAGCTGGTGATGAATTTTCTTGTTTTCCCAAGTCAATAACAAGATTGCAGACCAGGCGCGGTGGCTCACGCCTGTAATCCCAGCACTTTGGGAGGCCAAGGCAGGCGGATCACTCGAGCTCAGGAGTTCAAGTCCAGCCTGAGCAACATGGTGAAACCGTGTCTCTACAAAAACTACAAAAATTAGCCAGGCATGGTGGAATGTGCCTGTAATCCCAGCTACTTGAGAGGTTGAGGTGGGAGGATCAATTGAGCCCATGAGGTCGAGGCTGTAGTGAGCTGTGATGGCACCACTGTACTCCAGCCTGTGTGATAGAGCAAGATCCTGTCTCAAAAAATGAAAATAAAAAGATTGCAGAGTCCCTCAGAGCACCCAACACAAGGCCAGGCACCAGGTAATCATTCAACCCATGCTTAGAGAGTTAAAATGAATAGTTAGGGAAGTGTTAGATGCAGAAGGCTAAGACTGGGCTAAATCTATGTTATGCAGACCGCAAGCTTATAGGTACAAAATTAAGGTGTATGGGTCCTTCTCTTTTCATCTTTAAAAAATCCAACTTTCTAATAAACCTACACATGGCTTCAGTGACCTTTCAGAAATTCTAGAACATGTTTGATTTCTACTGATTTCAATCAATTACTAGGCTGATTACTGAATTCGTACACTAGGTCTTTCTTCCTCTTGCGTCAGTGATTACCATCAGAAAATTTTTTATGAACCATGTGTGAGCTGCCATGGCAAATCTGGGACCCATGCAGTTTCTGGGACAGTTGGCCCAGTCAGGTGCTCTGGTTAGGAACCCATTCTGTCTCTGAGAGGCATCTAAAGTCAGGAGTAGGTTTCATCTGTGCTGGACTAAAGCTTCCCTCCTCAGACTTGGCTAAATGGAGTAGTACATGTTCAATCAAATTGACAGGGTTAAATCAACCATCAGAAACAAATTCAATCATTCAACCATTCACTTATGAAATAAATATGTGCAGAGGCTACCATGTGCCTGACACTGTCCTAGGCATTGAGGACACTTTTAAATTAAATGTGTCTGATGTTATTTCCAGAGATGGGCATCCACTGGCTCACATTATATTTCGGGACCATTGTAATTCTTCCAAATGGGAGCGAAATTAGCAAAACTTTGTGAAATAATTCTGAATCCCTTGCTGGAAAGCCTCACTTGAATGCAGCCCACACATTTATGATACACTACAAAGGCTTCAAGGTCATGAGATGCCTCTGTCCAAAGAAGAGGAAGGGCACCCTTGCCTGCCCCGCATCTCTTACCACCTGTCATTTCTTCCCTCCTGGCATCATCTACTGTCAAGAGGAGAATCAGACTCCCTGAAATAACTGAGGCACTGACATTCCTTTTTATGTGCATTTTTCTGGCGAAGGCTGTAATTAAACAGGCATTAATAGAGGGCTGTACACAGATCATGCTCATGCACACTGTGTTAGTCCGTTTTCACACTGCTGACAAAGACATGCCCAAGACTGGGAAGAAAAAGACGTTTAATTGGACTTATAGTTCCACGTGCCTGGGGAGGCCTCAGAATCATGGCGTGAGACAAAAGGCACTTCTTACATGGCAGCAGCAATAGAAAATGAGGAAAAAGCAAAAGGGGAAAGCCCCGATAAACCCATTAGATCTCATGAGACTTATTCACTATCATGAGAATAGCACGGGAAAGACAGACCCCCATGATTCAATTACCTTTCCCTGGGTCCCTCCCACAGCACGTGGGAATTCTGGGTGATACAATTCAAGTTGAGATCTGGATGGGGACACAGCCAAACTGTATCACACGCCATTTCATTTGATCCATACAACACAGGGCAAAGATGATGGGTTTGACAAACAGAGTCTAAAGGGTTCTGGAATCATCTGGTCCTCCAATCACAACTCAACATGGATCTCTTATGTCTAAAGTTCTGGCTGGGCACGGTGGCTCACGCCTGTAATCTCTGCACTTTGGGGGGCCAAGGTGGATGGATCATGAGGTCAGGAGATCGAGACCATCCTGGCTAACATGGTGAAACCCCATCTCTACTAAAAATACAAAAAAAATTAGCTGGGCGTGGTGGCGGGCGCCTGTAGTCCCAGCTACTCGGGAGGCTGAGGCAGGAGAATGGCATGAACCCGGGAGGCAGAGCTTGCAGTGAGCCGAGATCGCACCACTGCACTCCAGCCTGGGTGACAGTGCAAGACTCCATCTCAGAAAAAACAAAAAAAAGTCTAAAGTTCTATCCTTTACCTGCAGCCTTCTTTGGCCTGGTTATTCTGTGAAATCTCATGCTTCACAGTTGAATCTGTGGAAAGGCTGGGTCAATAATACGATCAATATCCTCATCTCCCCATCTGCTTTGTCAGTGGATTCTGAGGGAGAACCTGTAAATTAGAGAGGGATGAGCCATGTAAGAATCTCTCTTTGTGAGTGTTCATCATGCGGAGAAAGCTGAAAATTGCAAAACCCTGTAATCATGAAATGAAAGAGAAGGAACATCTAAGTGGTAGCTTTGGGGTCAGGAAGAGGGTGGACAAACTGTCCCAACACCAAGCAGCCATCTACATGACCCAGCCACTTTATGTGGCACCAAATGACCCAGAGTCTTGAGGTTCTGAACTGTTCCCATACTTGGGGACAATATGAGGACTGGGTCTTCCATATTCCTTCTTTTCACTCCCACTCACTCTGAGATTTTTCTTAGGTGGAATTAAACAGGGAGCCCAGTGAACAGCATTCTGTGTCTTTTCTGCTAGGCTGGCTCATTTAATGGCTTATTATAATTGCTGCCTGGATTCGTTTTGCATTCGGGGTTGGAGACCTGTCATTTCTGTAGATCTCTAAGGAGCACACATAGAAGGCAAAGCTTCCCTCTCCCTTTTCTACCTCTAATTACAATCCTGCTGCTCCAAATCTCTGATGATGGCATCCTTCCCCAGACTAGCTTTTATCTCCCCTTCCCTCCCCAGGATGATTACTGCCAGTCATTTCCAATAAAGCATTCCTGGGGACAGCTATTGACTCTGAATATGGTTTGCAAGATGAAAGGGTTCACTTGGATGTGCAGTTAAAAATCACACTCGTGCTGGGGAGGCAGCAGAGAACACAGTCACCTTGACATGTTTTCTTCCCCAGGAGACAAGCCACTTGAGTCTAGCTTTGCTTTGTGGATGACACCATGGAGTACCGATGAATCCTTTCATCTTAGTACAATGTGTACTTTGAATGTGAAAGTTGCCACTTGCAGGCTGTCCAGTGTTGCATCCAGCCCCAGAGGAAGTTTTGTGAAACAACATAGCAGTTAGCATATATCAATGGCTCATCTACATATTTTTCTGAACTCTTCTTAAAACTATACTTTCTGATTCAATACTTCCTCGAGTCAGAAGACAAAGGAATGCTAGAACTGGAAAGCAGCCTATTCTTTGTTCTGATGAGAAAATCGAAGCCTAGGTCTTCTAGAATTTACTGGACAGGTCCACGTTCACACTCCCCTCCCCTGCCTCATCAGCCATTCCCTGAGCAGACATAGGGTGTGTGTTTCTATGTGCCAGGTGTTCTACTGGGATCTGGGGATCCAAAGAAGAATGAGGTCAGGTCCTTTCCCTGAGCTATTCTCAGTGTAGGAGTTGGACAGAGGCTTAAACAAAGACATGTATGCCTCCATGTACTGGATGCCGGCATAGAGGCAGGGACAGCGTGCCAAGAGGCTTTAATTATGCCCTTCTTTTCAGGTGAGGAAACACAGAGTCTTTGATGTTATGATCCTTTTTGTTATTGTTGGGAAAACTTTCCTTCTGGTTTATTTTGGTGATTCAACTTCTAACAGGTTATGGATAAAGGGCGTTTCTTTGTTTTGGGAGACAATGCTGTCATAGCATTGTCTCCCAACATCTTCCTGCTTTCGCTTTGCCACTTGCCAGCATAATGAGCAGTTCAGCATCTGTTGAGGGACTGGGAGTGGATGGTATACTTTCCAGTGATGTTGTGGAGAATTTTAATTTCTCCAAGGATCTGGGAGAAATGTGAGCTGGTTGTTCTTCAAAATGCAGGCTGGGTTAATGCTGTTTACTCCGTTGCTGCCTCATAAAAAGCCTCCTCCAAGGTCACCTCACTGCTCCTCAGTTTCCCCTCCTTTGGGCCAGGCTCAAGAAAGCTGCTCAGTGTAAATCCATGGCAGAAGCCCCCAGGTCTTGTGAAGAGGTAGCAAAATGGGGGCATCTGCTTTCTTCTATTCAATATCCAAGTTTCTAAAAGGAAGAAAAGGGAGAATTCAAAGCACATGCAAGCTCACAAAAATGTAGATGGTGACTGAGGATCCTAAAGGGCCTGATCACAATTCCTCCCTTAATTTAGGAAGCCAAGTGCTTCCTAATGTGCTCTGGACAAAAGATGTATGTGACACTAATGTGCACTTAGGATATCTAAACACTGTGCATAGGATGCAAAAATGAGTCAGATCCTGGCATTCACTCCTGCACACATTCATTCACTCAATCAACATTCAATTGTGCACTCCTACTGTGTGCCAGGCATCATGCTAGTCACTGAGAATTCACAGAGGTGATGCTCTCCCCAGAACCTAGTTGCTTCTGGCTCAGTGAAGATACACAGTCAAATGAGTCATGGCTGGGTTGAGCTGCAGGTTCTTTGAAGTAGATATGGGGTGTACCATGGGACCCGAAGGAAGAAGACACCATCTATGGTTTGTGAGAAAGGCATGAATATTACTAAGAGGTGAGCACTATGGCACTTGTGGTGACCCTGGCAGCCCTCCAATGAAGGAGAACTGTGTGACCTTGGCAAGCAAAGTTAAAAGTTTTCACCTTGACAGAGGTTGAGTTACATTCAAGTTTCCAAAGCGTTCCCCAGCAATTCCCTCCAGACAGCAACTGAGCTATGAATCTGGAATTTATTTGGTAGAGACTTTTCTCTCTCAAAAATGCAGCCAA